TCATGCTTCCCTAAGGACGGTGTCTTAAAATATAGTTCATGCTTCCCTAAACACAGTCCCTTTAGTTCATGATTTATTAGACACTTTTACCTATGTTACTTTTGTTCCCACTTCACATGAACGGAAATTTTCGTGATATTTCTTATATGGTCATTGACGGAAATTTTCGTCAGTGTTTCCCTCTTTACGTGGTCTGACAACAGGTATTTTTGTCAAATTCTAAATGGCTGTGTAGTATATCAATAAGAATAATGGAATATCAAAAGAGCCACTCAAAACGTGCTTACATAAATGTTTAGGTTTGTTTGTTTGTAATTAAGCACAAGGCTGCACAATGGGCTATCTGTGCTCTGCCCACCACGGGTATCGAAACCCGGTTTCTAGCATTGTAAGTCCGCAGACATGCCACCGGGGGGGGGGGCAAAAGTGAGACTGACCGTCAGCATACTCAGTGACGAGATTCGAACCCGCGACACACAGATTGAGAGTCGAGCGCCAGAGCCACCTAGGCAAGCAAATGTTTACCATACAAGCAAGCAGAGAAAACGGAACTTAAATTTGGGAATTTTATACTTTGATAATTATTGCATAATATAACCCAATGTTGGGTGTCTCAACAAAAAACAAAACCTATTGATCAATAAACATGGCTGCAGTGGCCAACCAGACCTCATGTGCCCATGTATCAAAATTACAAGGGGTCCCTAAACCGCCGTTTTGTGGGCCCTCAAAAGGTTAAGGGAGTCGGAGACCCTTGAACTTGACCCATCCAGTAAGATAGATAGTTGAATCCACGAATGGCAGCCAGAGTAGATTTTGTACTATAGCATAAACGAGTTTTTTGACTTTGTATTTTCAATTTCCGAATTAAACTTGCAATAACTCTGATGTGTGATTCACGCCGTTTTCAAATAATTTAAATGAACGAATGAGGAATTTGATTTCGCCGAAATATCTATTTCAGTGATAAAACGCTACAATAAAGTGCATACGTCTCGTTTTCCGGGATAACCTGTGGTACCCCCTTACGGTGTTTATGAAAACCAACTCCTCGCGGGGATTTTGGGAGGGAAAAGGGTAATTGATGAAGGGGAAAATGGGATAATAAAATATAAATAGATAACTGGTGGTTTTATCTTACTTTTATTAATTATTCCATAACTGCCCCCCCCTAGCGGTATGTCTGCGGGCTTACAACGCTAGAAACAAACAAATATTCCATAGGTTGTTGTTGTGATGTTATGTTTTTGATAAATCTTACATTTTGATTTAAAGCCTACATAACACTCAGATGTGGTAACCTGCTCATTACCAAACATTAAGGAGGCAACGTGAACTATATTTTCCTGTTGAATGGGACATGACTCGTTTC